TAAACCTCTTACAATGTGCGATTATTTCTTTGTTGTAAGTGGCCACTGCCCACTTGATGCCACAATTTTGCTTATGAACAAAATTGAGTAACGATGCTATTTGAAACTATACATTGTCTTTTACGGATGTATTTGTGGGTCTTCATTACTACCTTCTTGTATATATTATGGCTGGGTTTCTACTACATGGGACTTTTGATGAGAAGTAGATTATCTGCACTGCTGAGTCAATAGAAAAACTTTTTTAGCTTGCAGCTGTTTAGGAGAGATACTGTAGGGAAGTCTCTTGAGAGAAGTATCTTGGTACTACCTTCTGTTCTCTTCTGCTTTGTAGGTGTAGAGATGATTAAGAGAAAGCAACCATCACACTGGTTGTGTGTTTGTGTGTGTAGGAAGAACGGAGAATGGACAGTGGGAAAGAGGACACATGGGCGTTGGCAACATGGGACAAGTGATGTGACATGCATTATAACATCATCAAACAAATACAGTTTGCTAGGCTTCTAGCTAATGCCTTTGAGGGGATAAAGAAAGCATATTCTATATTCTCTGGCTTGTGGCTGATTTACACCATTATTTTGTTAACCATTAGTTGTTGAGTAAAACACAATTTCTAAAGTTTACATATGCTAAGTGATACACCATAGCTTACCAATTGTAATGGCTAACTTCACACCACATAGATTACACCAGGGGTAAATAAACCAGCTTATGAATTGGTGTGTTGTGCAAACAAAATCTGAGATTAGTTTCTATAATAGGTGGTTGTATTCGCTTTCAAAGAAAATGTACATTTCTTTGAATTGATTGAATTAGTTTTTTCTCTGTCCATTATCTATTTTCTATGAAACTGATATGTTATTGTGCTTTGTGGAAATTTGTGTGTTTTGTCAGATTTGGGTCTCAGGCTTCAATTCTAACTTATAGAGTTTTTTGGCTAAAATTTCCATAAAAGTCATCAACTCAACTTCTGTAAAATGAATATTGAAACAGAAAACAGGAACAGAGATAGACTTCCCTTCATCTAAGAGCCAAAAAGAAAAGAAAACTGATCTTTAAGCTCTTCTGCCCTGTAGACAAAGAAGAAATTAAATTACTCTTCAGGAAAGTGTATATGAGGTTATAGTTTCTCTGCTCTGGGGTCTTTAGGTTCAGGTTAGTAAATATCTCCTAATTAGACTGGGCCAGAATTGCTGAAGGGTGAATTCTCTGGCTCCCACTGCTGATTTTTTTCAGAGCCAAGAGCCACCACGAACAGTGCACTTTAATGGCTGTCCTCATATCTGGTTCCAGAAGACTTGTTTCAGGTGAGACCAACATGAAGCAACAATCTTACCTTATATTGTAATATGTTTATTAGTCAGGGAGACTGCAAGTTGACAACATATAGGACTAACCTAAATCCTTGTCTAGTTTGCATTTATGCTAATGCCTAAATGCAGATGGTGACAGGGATGCTTAATAAGAGCAGTTATAGCAGCCTGCAGGGTCTCATCTTTGACTTTGTGGTTTTGTACAGCTGTCACTTGAGAAGGTAGCTTAAGCTTCTTCAGTTCAACCTCCCCCTCGCTTTTGAATGCACTCTTATGTTTTACCTGGGTCACAATATCTATTTGGCAGGTGAATGTACTGAAATCCCTAGAGCCCTTTAGGTGCATGCAAAATATACTCATTTATATTATGGGTAAGGATATTAAGTAAGTCTCAGAAAGTGCGATGGTTACAATGGTGTCAGCAGACAAGAAAATGCCCACACCCACCCCAGGGGTGGTAGCTATTTTTCCTGGTGCCATTCCAAAGAGACAACCTTGTTTTTATGACAGAGTAGATCACTTATTTCATGTACAATAAAGCATATGGTGGACCTTTCAACTTTTGCCTTGGTATTGAAGTCACAGGGAAGCAGCAAGCACGACTAATGTTGCTGATGTTATCTTTCTTCCTCTTCATGCTTCTGCTGACTCTTGTTCTTCTATCCTTAAACCATACTGCATTTAGGTCATTGAATTTGCTGATTTCAAAACCCAGCCAATTGGTCCTCCACATTGCTGCAATTCACAATCCATGGCCTGTGTGGCAACCTCTCCTTTGCTTTTCATCCAAAGCAGAGTCATAATAAAGCTCAAAACACTCATTGTAAGAATTTGCTAATCAAGTAGATCCGTGGTGGCGAACCTATGGCAAGCATGCCACAGGTGGCACGCAGAGCCCTCTCTGTAGGCATGCGCTCCGTTGCCCCAGTCCTAGGCCTTCAGCTGGGTTTTATAAAACCTTTTCGCTTTAGGCCTCCGCCGCTGTGTGCAAAAAAAAGAAAAAAAAGGTTCAATCAATCAATCAATTTCAATTTCTCGCAGGGAAAAAAAAAGATCTCACAAAGTTGGAATTGATTGATTGAACTTTTTAGTCCCACCCAGTCTGCCGTTACCACAGCAGCCACACACACCCAATGGGCCACGCCCACCCGGCACCCGAAGATACATAAGTGGGTTTTGGGTTGCAGTTTGGGCACTCGGTCTCTAAAAGGTTCGCCATCACTGAACTAGATGTTTTTCTTCTTCTAGCATACCAGTGGCAAATTGCTGACGGTGATAGTATGAGATCATTGGAAATGCTCTAAGGACATAAACAGGGTTTCTCGCACTTGTGATAACTTTGCTTATGAAATTGTCTCAAGTAATTCTTCTGACCTGAAGAGAAGATATTGAGATGCTTTGCTTAACTTATGTAGCTACACTTTTCTTAGCTAATTTCCAGGGTATGGAAAGTGAGGAGAGAACCATTTATTTATGTATTTACTTATTTTAAATGACTTATATAGCTGTTCATATTGTAAGAACAAGCATAGGCGGCACTCATAACAATTATCCATTTCCATGATGCCTCTGAATAGCTTGAGTCATTTGAACTCTTTTGCCTGGTTCTGCCTGAGCCCAGAGAAGAGGCAGTCCAATCCTTTATTTGCTTACCCTTAGTGGACAAAATCTTGTCAAACTAAAGCAAAAGATACTAAATATATCCTGAGAGATTCTAGGATGTGGTTACCCTGAACCTCTTCCCTCCTTCCTCATCCAACTCAGTCTCTTGATCTCGGTCCTTTTCTGAGAAAGCTCTAATTTGGCCAAATCCTCCCCCTCTGATGCTGCAGGTGTAAATTCCATCACACCAACTGGGCCTTATGACGCATGCCCAACAAAGCTACAAGGACGGCTGTGCTAACCTAAGTGCATGGAGAGCAGGAAGCCTTGGCCTTGCACACCTGTATTTCCTAGACATTGTGGCAGAAAGATTAGAAATCTTAGCTTTTTGTTTTAATTTTGCTAGGCTTCCTCCAAAGTGACCATTCTGTTTAGTTTAAACTGCAGCTTACTAATAAGCCAAGTCATAAATCACAGCTAAAGCCTAATCTCCTTGTAGCAAATATAGTTTAAATGAAACATAGCTTCCCTATAGAAAATTCAGCTAGTTTAAAAGCAGAAGTAACTTTCTGATCGATTTCTATGGAGATTCTCACTCATGCAGGCCATGGTTGTCCCAAAGGTGTGTTTTTAAGAGGCAACTGGACTTTCTTTGTTTTTCCTTGAAGATATTTCCCTTCTCATCCAAGAAGTTTCTTCAATTCTGAACTGAAAAAGCTTCTTGAGTGAGAAGCAAAATGTCTTCAAAAACAAACAAAATAAAGAAAGTCCAGTTGTCTCTTGAAAAAGCATCTTTGGGACATTTCTAATTGATTCCTCAGGCCCACTCTAAAGGAGGGGAAATTAATACTTTAGTTTAACGCTGCATGTGAAACAATTTTTTAGTCCTTCCTGAAAATCAGTTCTCATAAAATATGAGTAGTAGGCATATGGTACTCCAGAGGTTGTTAAACTACCTCCTCCTTTATCCCTGGAATTGAGTGTGCTGGCTAGGTCTGAAAGGATGTGTAATCTGACAGCCTCTGGGAAGATGCATTTTTCTAATCCCTGCCTTAAACATTCTAGGAATAGTAGCTTCTTTGAAGCTCTTCAGCTATTTGATGTAGTGGAACTAATGTATAAAATGGTAAACCAAGAGAAAACATGTCTTTTTTGTTTTGTTTTAGACCAATGCTCTACTAATTAATTTATGTTTGGTGTCTTTTTGACTAAACACGGTTATGCTCTAATTCTTGAAATCTTACATGTCCACATTCTAACTGTATCTGTTGATCTGGTGTGAAGTCAGTTCTGTATTCAACCTAGCCTAGCGTATCAGTTTATTTTCTTGAAGCATGGCAACATCCATCCAGAGGTTATGACATTCCTGAATCATATATTGTAAGCATGTAATATATGCTGTCTAAAATTACTATGGTATCATTTTACTGATGGACTATATTGCAGGTACATAATTTATAATCCCTTTTGCTCTCTGAACACTGTTATGGTTTATGGTACCTGATAAATGGTTCTAATCTCAATAAACTAAATAAAAATAGATTGATGTATTCTTGGCAAAGTATAAAGGGCCCAACAATCTGATCCACATTCATTCACCAATGACTACTTGGACCGAGTTCCTTGGATAACTCCCAATTAGTGTATAAGCTTATAGGGTATAAGGTTAGAAACCTTACCAGTCTTAGCTTTAACATATTTTCCCAATTATGTGTGTATAAATATTTATGCCAAAAGTCTCACTGATGTCTTAGGAAAAAAGTTGGGGGTACACTTAGCTCTTCCCTTTGAGATCAGCAAGATTAAAAGAGGGCTTAACTTTTCTTATGAGGATATTCTTAAGCTGAAGGAGTGTTGAAAATTGTCAACAGATGTAGACATTTCATTGATTGAGTATAAGGTAAATGCTCATAAGGACTAAATAACCATTCAGGGAAGATTAACCAAGATTCAATCTGTTGATATGAGGGCCTTGATATTGTTTTACTGTAGATCAAAACCTTCAGCCTTCATTGGCTTGAGTATTTAATCAAAAGGAAATATGAATTTGGCTTTCAAAATAATCAGTACTTCCTCTTCTTGCAGAGCAAACAATGCCTGTGGAAAGAATGCGAATGCGGCCATGGCTAGAGGAACAAATAAATTCAAACAAAATCCCAGGGCTGAAATGGCTAAATGAGGTAAGGCAAGCCTGTACTTTTAAGCAGTGAGAAATAAACCAGACTGTCTTTTCTAAAGCAAGGCTGCAGAGCATTCAAAAGAATGTTTTGAATAGTATTTTACTACAAGCAAAATAAAAGAGCCACATCCTTTAGAAAGTTTTGTTTTGCTTTTGCTGCCTAGAAGTCCCGTCCCCCCCGTGTGTGTGTGTGTCCATCCATGCACACACAGAATTTCTTCTGGGACTAAGTGCACATATGCGCATACCTGAGTCTTACAAAAGATGTGACTGCATTAATTCTCCAGGAAAGGGGAGCTTCACTCATGATAACACACTACAAAGCACTCATTTCAAATGCTTTAATAACAAACACTATGCTCACTTTAGTCAAGCCGTTGTTTATAATTCTGATTTATAGAGCAGAGATAAGCCAGTCACCTGATTCAAAGAAACTTTGCCTCCCCCTTTTTTGTATCAAACGAGGTATACAGTTACATGATATCTATAAAAAGGAGGAGGATTTTAGAGGTAAGTCTTCCCTCAAGAAACCAATAAAATCTAAAAATGTTGTTTTTGCAAGTGCAATAACACAACTCATTAGTACCCTAAACATAGTAGAGTAAGTTAAAGTACCTCAATCTTAATATTAATTGATTCATGCATCATGTACTAATTGTATATTATTTTGGGAGGATACCACAATTTGAAATGACAAAGAGCTGTCTCATTAGCATCCTCATTTTTAAAGATTTAAATAAATGCTTTTCCAGCCTGGCAATTTAAGATGTGTGGACTTAAACTCTCAGGATCTTCCAACCAGCAACAGAATTCTGAGAGTTGAAGTCCACACAAGCCAAGTTTGAGAAACACCTATTTAAAAATTGCATCATCTCTTGTTTGCTCTCCCAGAATACTCTTATCATCTCAGCTTCTCTCTCTCTTTCTTCTTCTTAAAAACCCTATTTTTAAAAAGTGGATTGCAACAATCACTGTGTTCATTTTCTAAGAATGCTGCTTGCGGTATGTGAACCAAAAAAGCAATATTATAAATAAAGTAAATGCTATGGGCAGATTGTCAATTTGCCATTAAAAAAATAAAATATTTAAAATATATAAAGAAATCTAAAAGAGCCTGGCAGCATCCACAGATGTGTCCTTAAACATTTTGGGTGGTCTAGCTTTGCTTTAAGTATCTTAAGATTTAAGTTTGTGAGCTAATTCTTTATGTCTCCTATTTGTTCCCCACCCCCCACCCCCAGGAAAAGAAGATTTTTCAGATTCCTTGGATGCATGCCGCACGTCATGGGTGGGATGTTGAGAAAGATGCTCCTTTATTTCGGAATTGGGCCATTCACACTGGTATGGGAAACTTATTTTTACTGGGGCAGTTTCTCGTTGAATTTCTGTATTTTTCTCATTGATACTACTTTCTGTTTTGCTGTTGTGTGTGATCAAACTCATTAGTACCCTAAACATAGTAGAGTAAGTTAAAGTGCCCTCTCTATTTCAAATGGATGGAGCAGTATTTTTCAACCCCGGAAACTTGAAAATGTGTAGACTTCAACTCCCAGAATTCTCCAGCCAGGATGGCTGCCTGGGGAAGTCTGAGAGTTGAAGTCCTCACATCTTCGAATTGCTGATATTGAGAAACACTGGGATAGAGAGTCCTTGAAGTATAGCAAAGTCCTTAAGTATCAGGTGTGTCTGTGTGCTTTGCTCCTGAAAATTGTTTTCTGGGACCACATGTGGGTAAATATGGACTAGCAATGAGAACCTTGCTGGTTTGCTTATCTAGAACAATGGTTCTCAACCTTTTCTTCACCATGGACCCCCTTTAAGTACCTCTTGTGGTCGTGGACCACCAAGACTTAACTCAAGATTTAAATCATAACGTTTATTCAAGTCTTCACAGACCCCTTGTGATGACATCATGATGGACCTTCAGGGGTCGACGGACCACAGGTTGAGAAGCACTGATCTAGAACTCTGTGTAGCTGTAAAGCCTTTAAAAGGTATTGGTTCTGACTCCTCTATCGCAAATACCTGAGTTGTGAAACCAAATGAAAATAAATCCTCCCTATCCATATGCTGGAGGTGATTTGGCCCTCCATCCCCACTTCTTAAGAATTATCATACTTGAATATGGGGATACGCTTGTGGCCTACAAAAAGCATTTTGTTATATTTGATCTTTGGGCAAGTGCAGAAGACAGTCAACTTCTCCAGAAGTCGGATTCAAGGGCACATGTGTAAGGGTGGAGAGGTTCAATGGACTCCAGAGAGTCTGCCTTGGGGAGTAGTTGTCAGTTGATACCACATCCACAGAGGTGATGGAACAACTTAGGTTCAATCCAGGATATCTTCAGCTAATGCTGAATCCTTCTTGGCAGTGTGCAGCCCAGTTAACCCTTACATTTCTTCAATGTTTTTGTTCAGCTCTGTGGGAATAGTTTTTGGTAGATTAAGCCAATAGTGTTATGGGCTTATATCAGAAAATCTCCAAAGCACCTGAAAGTCTCCAAAGCACCTGGAGGCAGAATAGGAAGCAATGAATAGAAACTAATCAAGGAAAGAACCAACCTAGAATTAAGGAGACATTTTCTGACTGATAGAACAATTAATGCAGGGGTAGTCAACCTTGGCTCTTTTATGGCTTGTGGACTTCAACTCCCAGAATTCCTGAGCCAGCTGTGTTGGCTCAGGAATTCTGGGAGTTGAAGTCCATGAGTCATAAAAGAGCCAAGGTTGACTACCCCTGAATTAATGGAACAGCTTGCCTTCAGAAGTTGTAGGTGCTCCATCACTGGAGATTTTAAAGAAGAGATTGGACAATCATTTGTCGGTGATGATATAGGATTTTCTGCTTGAGCAGGAGGTTGGACTAGAAGACCTCCAAGGTCTTTTCCAACTCTGTTATTCTGTTAAAATGTCCCTCAATGTTTAATTGAAACTGCTTTTGAAGTTCTTTAATGGGAAACTCTACACAAATATTTTAAAGAAAAATTCTGTATCAGTTTTTCACAGTTCCTGTCTTTCTGTGGCCTTTGTTTGCACTGCATTTCCTTCCCCCCGTCAAATTAATCATTGATTTTTAAACCGGTGTTGCAACAACAGTCTCTTCCACTTCAAGATAAATTCTGGTTACCAAGATTTTTTCTTCTTCCCTTTTTGTTTAGGAAAGTACCAGCCAGGAGTCGATAAAGCAGATCCAAAAACATGGAAGGCCAATTTTCGATGTGCGATGAACTCCTTGCCAGATATAGAAGAAGTTAAAGACAAAAGCATCAAGAAAGGCAATAATGCTTTCAGAGTGTATCGGATGTTGCCGTTATCCGAGAGGCCTTCTAAGAAAGGTAAACGAAAGGACTGTGATAATTAGTGACTTATTGGACATCAGCGAACTGCTGTTTAAGAGACTTCCCGATAAATTGAGACTCCAGTTCACAGAATTTCCACTTGACCAAAACAAATAAAGCTTACAGCCACAACACATTTAGGAAACCAGAGGGGAAATCTGGGAAAAGACAGATTAGGCGCATGTGGATAAATAGGCAGGCATTCTTTATTTGGTCACAGGCACATCTACTAAGTTTATGCAACCACCTAAGACAGTGATGGCGAACCTTTTAGAGACCGAGTGCCCAAACTGCAACCCAAAACCCACTTATGCATCGGCGGGTGCCGGGTGGGTGTGGCCACTGAGTGGGCGTGGCCACCGAGCTGTCAGCTTGTGCTCACTTGCTCACTCATTCGCTGTTCGCTCCGACTCGTGCTCACTTTCTCGCTGTCTGCAGCAAATGCTGCTTCCACCGAAAGTTGCTCCTTTTATAGCCTCTCGCCTATTCCTAGACTGCGCATGCGCAGAGAGCTGCGCAAGCGTGGAGAGGAGGAGGGAACAGCTCAACCCAGCAATGGCTCGTGTGCCACCAGAGACGGCTCTGCGTGCCGCCTGTGGCACGCGCGCCATAGGTTCGCCACCATAAACCTAAGAAGAAGAAAAATTTTAAGAAATCTTTAAAGTCATTTCCATCCTTCCCTTCAGCTGTACAGATGAGCGCAAATAGTCTTGGCTCCATCAGCCTTTCATATGACATCATCAAATTCCATATTTTTTCTGTTCTTAAAACTGATAACCAAAGAAGAAAAGAAAAGCTGTGCACGGCCCAGGAGATGACAGTCCTGAATTAATTCCTAGCACCCCCAGTTAAAAAAAAATGATCCTTTTCAGAAAATGGGGAAAAGTCTTTCATTGCTAGTCAGAATAGAAAATATTGTAAAAGATGATAAGGACCCTGGCATTCATCCCCTTCTGATAATATAATAATGATATGAGTTAGTGTCAAAGAAAAGCAGTAGGATCAAAACTATGATAGCCCCAGTGATACATTGTTCACCTTCCTGACATGAATAATTAAAATTGGAAATTTTACATGAGATGCCAAAGTCTCATAAGTTTTTGCAGAAAATTTTAGCTTCTTTTTTTCCCTTGCTTTGGCAGCTGGTAGTTAGAAAAGTATTATTATTATTTTGGAAGACAACTCCAGAAACTGAAAAAAAAACCAATAATACTAGCTATTGTACTCCCAGTGTAGAGAGGATATACCCTGCAGTGTAAGATTTAGGAAAGAGAGTTAAGTATTACTCACCTGTTATGCCACCTGCCCCTGTTCAAAGGAATATCAGCAACGTGGAGTAGAATCCTATGTCTCTGTAGAACTAGCCTCTCCTCCGTGTCTTCTCCATCTTGAAGCCCCCGATCCATGTGGGCTGTTCGTAAAGTAGAAGTAAGTTTCGGAGCATGGGCTTCACTATTTCTTCATTATCTAATGTAGAGAGATAGTTTCCCATTAGAAATTTTAATTCTTCAATCTTTTTATTTGCCTCCAAGAGCTGATCAAATGTCGCAATAACTGTTTGTGCTGTCAAGAGGCAATTCTTGGCAATCAAGTCCAAGTCTCCTTTAAAATTGCTCTTAATATTATCCTTGTTCTCCCCTCTGTCTCCTAATGGAGCCTCATTTTCCACAGAAAGGCAGTCATCCTCCTCCCAATCCAATAAGGAGCAGGACTTGTTTGCAGAGGTTACAAGGGGAAAAGAGAAAAAAAGGAGGCTTACTTGCAGTGTTCACTATCTGAAATAAGTCCTTTATCTTTGGTTGTCTAGATGTCTTGCCGCCATGTTGTGTTTAAGGTTTCCTCCCAACTGTGTATCCAATTTATGCCTCCTTTTAAACTTTATTTTCGAGTTCCTTTTGGCTTTTACTAATAGCTTTTGTTTTGGCTTCCTTGAGTTGTTTAAAAGATTTTAAAACATACTCCCACTTCATCGGCAAGTGCTTGAAGCTGATAAGTTACGGAACTCGTAGTCTAAAACCTAATCCTATCTAAGCCTAAATATAAAATCCTAAAATTACTACTACTAGTAAAACTTTACTAATTAATAGTTAATATTAGATAAAAATTAGATAAAAATGAACTATTTTACAAGTATACAAAAGTAACTAAAATAAGAATGAGGAGCTTACTAAAAGAGCTGTCACATGGTGACCAACTTTGGCAGTAATCCCAGTGTAGAGAGGGATCTCATTCCTCATTGACATGGGGGATCTTAGAAAATAATGTCAGTTCTGTTTGTCTATCTTCACGTATTTTCAGTATGATTTAAACAAGTAGTATTTTTCAAGCATTATTGACCTAATTATTATATTAAATTCAGGTGAAAATCTTTTATTATTTGCAAATAATAGACTTAAGCCAAGATGACTAATTTTTGTCAGGAAATGACTGTAAATATCTTTTCTTACATTTCTACAGGAAAGAAACCCAAGTCTGACAAGGAAGATAAAATTAAACAAATTAAGGTATTTTTTGTTACCATTTCAAAGCTAAAGAAGATGTATACCATTTCTGAATTTATGATACAGAAATTTCCAAAACATTCTGAAAAAGTATTTCAGTTTATTAACACTTTTTATCAAAAGGACTAAACAGACTTTTTTTCCAATAAACTGCATTCAGACAAAATACTTGGCCCAGCTGCAACATATGCTTAATATAATTGGTTTTTATTTTAAGTAATTGGAAGTGAAGATTGATCCTTTTTAGAAGCATGGTCTATGGGAGAGGACGCTCACATTTCCCCTTCCCCATGTGACTGGAAGAAATATAATGTACTTCTTCCAATTTGCATTTCTAATAAGGAGTCTCCTTTTCTCAAATCCATGATTATTGAAATGAAAACCAAAGTGTAGCAGACTGATAAAGACACTCTTATCAAAATATGTTTCTAATCATTGGATTGAGACTATTCTGCTGGCTCATGAAAAATTTTGACATTTTTCTTGGTTATTCAGATTTCTAGTTACTGAACTCTTGGCAAATAGCACCATGATAGGTAGTGGTTTTACATTCACCCGTCCATCTGTTCTGTTATCCCAGGAGATTTTATGGCATCAAAAAAGTATGTGTAGTACTCACATCTCTCTAGGAGGACACAATGTGATAATTGCCAGTTGCTTGTGTATTACATAATTGGTTTTGTTTTTGAAAGGTTAATTCTCATAATATATTCTGCACAAAGAATTAAACAAGGCAGAGACCTTTCCCTTCCTCTTGTCAGCACATATGTCATTAGTAACAGCCTATACAGTTATCTAACTGCACTTTCCAATGTCGATAGGCGTTATCTACACAGTTTCAATAGTATGTTTGCAGGCTTCAGGAACAGAAACAGAAATATAGAATTTTGCCTTATGAGGAGGCAAGAAGCTTCCTCCTCAGGCAGCAGATGTTTGTTTTATTGAAAGACCCAAATCAGTTATGACTTCTGTTTTCCTGCTGCATCTATCTCTGTTTTTATTATATTGTACTTTTGCTGTGGGTGGACATTATGGTTGGTGATTGTAATGACTTGTTAGATGTACTACTATCAAAGGACATTTTGTAGATGTAAGACCCTGGTTTTTTTGCACTGAGGTTGATGCCCAAGAGTGCTTAATTAAGTGTTATGGATTTGATTTTGCAGGAAGTAGAAATTTGCTAAGTTCATGCATCTTAGTTAGAACCACGAGTTTTATTTAGAAGGCTATGATAAATATTTAACAAGAAGAGTTGTTGGAGATGGTGATACCTAAGTTAATTTCTTAATGCAAAGCATATTTCTTAGAAGGCCTCTGAATAAACTCTGTGCATTGCTTTTCTGAATGCAGAATATTTTTATGAATAAAATGGCTGGTGTTTCAGTTCTGAGACTGAACAGCATGAGACAGTCGTCTGTTTTAACTTGACCTGCAGAATGCCAAAGGAATGGTATGGGATAGGTTTAGCTGATGACCAGTCAGGAGATGACATATATTTCTGAGTGCCTACCAATGTATCATCCTTCCATTGCTTTCTTTCTAGCAAGAACCAGAGGAGTGCTCTTATCAGCTGAGTAATGGAACAAGTCCAGAATTTTCTAATTACTGCTTGTCTTCTGCAATAAAAACTGAAGTCGACAGTACAATAAACATTGTAGGTAAGCAGCTCCGGTAGACCGGCACATTCTTTTCCTTGCGTGGCAAACTTCTAGACCAACGATTTTGACTTTTTCAGTAATATATCAGATGTATCATAGCAACAGAATAATTAGGTCTTGGTTTAGTTAGGAATCTTGAACAAAATTCCTGGGAAATGGTAAATGTAAAAGAAGAAATGTAACTGTTTGTCTAGCAGTTATTTGGCTACAGATTTAGTCCTGCTTAGAGCAGACCCATCAGAGTTATGAATCATGAGTGCCCCTAAGTTCCACTGTATCTTTCCGAACACAGATCAGCAGATTTTGGATGGGCAACCCTGAACATAAGATTTTGGAATTTTTTCACCTCCTAGGTGACAAGAGAATTCTGATCTGAGTGGGAAAATTCTCACTTTGGAAACTTTCCTTCCCTCCCTTGGGGCTTCCAAAACCCATCCTTTCTAATCTGTCAATTTCCAAATGACGTATTAGAAAAATGGTCCAAGGAGTACTGTAAATATGACTGTAGAACTATAAAACCCAATGTTCCTCGAACACATACTACACATCTACCCTGAAGCTAGGATAGAGAAAATGTGCTGTGGCTAGTCAAAGAAAAATGCAAATCTTGTTCTCTCTTCCTCCTGTTGGAATGAACTTAGCGACTCTTTGGGTATATTGGAGATGTTGAAAGGTGTTGAAAAACACTAATGTGCTGGAGTCCTTCAAAACAGGGTCATTTTTTTTAGCTAGGAATACATCTTTAACTGAAGAAAAAATAATGCCTATTCTCATTCACAAAGTACAATTTTAGTACACTAAGTGGTTAAGTGATTAATTTATTAGATTTCTTCCCTTTCTTTGATTAGTTCAGTGGCAAGGTTATGATGGCCTCTGTAAACTATGGTTTTGCTAATGATCACCCTTCTTCCCTCCCTCCTTCCCTCCCTTTTGGACCATGTTGCCTGAAGTAGTAAAAAGGTACTCTTCCTGTACATACAAGCTTCATCCACTATCAACATTCTGAGATGCCCTCCCACACTGTATGTGTGAGGTGGTTAAGGTGCTGTTGTAATAAAATATTCTCAACAAGCTGATTGACTCCGAGTGGTGATGGGGAAAGAATGACTCAGTAAACCAATTTTTTTATATATATTCACTGCCCATATGCCTTATCCACAACATCCCTTTGTACTGTGGGATTTTGTAAACTAGATTCTCTGACGTTTTCTCCTTTTATGGTATAAAAATATGATAAACCACAGTGCATTCAGAATCACTGAAAATATGCTATTAGTTCATATGACTGTATGTCATCACCATTATTATATTTTGTTGTCATATCCAGTTGTAGGAGAATCACACTTTGAGGTTGGTTCTGGGGATCACATGATAGTTCCCAATCCTCCAGATATTTGCCAAGTAGTAGAGGTAACAACAGAATGTGATGACCAGCCCAGCTCCATGAGTCAATTATATCCACTACAGATCTCTCCTGTCTCCTATGCAGGTCAGTAGTTTTGTAATACTAGAATTTTTAACAAATGTTTCTTTTTCTGCATAGGTTACTTGGAAGTGATTTTATTGATGCTCTGGGAAAACCATTGTAATCAACATAAACAATTTTCTTCTACGAAAGAAAGCTGTATTGAAATCAGATATAGGAACTAAATTTGAATGCTCCTTAAAAGTACTTAAAATTAAATTTAATAAAACTCAGTCAATAAAATTTTTAGTTCCTTAAAGACAGTAGCTATTTTGAAGAGCATTTAATCTTCATTTTATTTTTATATATATTTTAAATTGTCTTTAAAAATGGAAATCATTGTCGTTTACATGGACTCCAGGAATTCAGATCAGGGTCTTTTTTGTATTTCCCTATGTGAAATCTAAGACTCAGTCTGAGACCTATTGTATGTAATGCAGCTGCTTTACCAATGATTTAGTCTTTATCTGCTATTATGCATAAAATCCTGTCATGCATTTCGTCTTTCAGGTATATCATAATACAGCCAAAGACAAATAATGTTTGGTAAAACATAATTTATTGGGAAATCAATGTATCTTCAGTTGAAAAAAGCAGCCTTAAGTCTAGATAAACATTATCAAGTAAAATAAGTTTTACTGTTTCTTGGGCATGGAGCCAATAACATTACTTGCAAGTAAGCCATAGTAATATGCAGAGTCTCTATGTACAATCATGGCTTGCAAATGCAGGGATAGTTTAAAATAACCTCTTGATCCTGAAGCAAGTTTACACATAGTAGTAGTGTTCGCCTTTGGCCCTCAGATGCAAGCAATTCTATTGCTTTTTTAAAAAATAAATTTATGACTACTCATTTTAGATTACTTTTTCCCTCGGTTCCAGTGGTTAATATGACCTAACTGGTTTTACATAAATCTCATTAGACAGATATAGAATAATGTCTTGTATATGAGAAAATGTAGCCGATCATGGTTAAAACAAAATAACCGTAGTGAATTTCTGTTTATATTGGCTATTCATACTTCTTTAGAATTCATATTTTTATCCCTACTGTGTCCAGCAGAAAGTGAAACAACAGATAGTATGCCAAGTGATGAAGAAAAGGCACAAGTAAGTAAAACATTTCCAGGTTTTCTTTTTACTGTTATAAATAGGTTTTTCCATTGCTTTTAGGAACTTTGTTTGGTTTATTGATGTTTAGAAGTCAATATCCTTTCTGTTCTTTATAAAGGTTTGTATGATGTCTTATGATGAATGAAAACAGTGTACAATAACATTTAGATACTAATACGTAATAGTAACAGAGATGAGGAAGGAAGCTGTATTAAATTTACTGCATGAGCAGCATTAAAATGATTGTACCATTAAGAAATGCCAAATACAAGTAGTCCTGGACTTACAACAGTTCATTTAGTGACTGTTTGAAGTTATAACAACACTGAAAAAAATGACTTATGATCATTTTCCACATTTACGACTTGCAGCATCTCTGTGGTCATGTGATTAAAATTCAGATGCTTGGCAACTGACTCATATTTATGACAGCTGCGGTGTCCTGAGGTCATGTGATCATCTTTTGTGACCTGATAAGTAAAACTAGGGAAGCCAGATTCACTTAACAACCAAGTTGCTAACTTAACATCTGCAGTGATTCACTTAATAACTGTGGCAAGAAAAACCATTCACTTAGCAACTGTCTTGCTTAGCAACAGAACTTTTGGCTCAGTTGTGGTCATATCTTGAGGACTACCTCAAAACTCTTCATTAAAAAATCTTCCCATTTTCCAAAAAGATGAAAAATAGGAATTACTTAGGCTTTCTGGAGGGAGGAATCTTTCCTTTTTCCTCAGCAGTCACATCGGTGAAAGGGATCCTGAAGACAGCTACTACAGATGTGCTCCTTCAAACAGCTAGGCCCTGTTAAAGAAGAAGCCGAGAGTGTGATGGCTGGCACATTATCCTCCAATCAGCTGAAATCTGTCCAGAAGTCATGACTGAACTTCTCAGACTTCCTTGTTTCTGATGAGGTTACTCTGTAAAAATTACAGGAAAAGGTTTAAGCATCTTAACAAGAGCCATTTGAAATTCTATCACTAATAACATAGGCAGTATTTTCCCTTCCCCTCCTGCTGCCACATGTGGCTTATGACCAAAAAGCAAGTTCAGCCACAATATTGGCAAAATAATTTACCCCATCTTCCCACATATCTAAAGTATTATGGTTAGGAATTTTATAGTCAGTTCACAAAAGATGAGCAGCTTGTAAAATACAAAAAGTATAAACAGGCATTAAACATATATAAAACAATCAAAAAATTAAAACTCAAATATTTGATATATAAGCAGCAGACAAGGGAACCGAAGCAAAAAGGAATGTCACTTTTTTTCAGCCCATTGCTACTTAGATATATTAAAAGCAACTCTTCATCATTACAGCCAGCTTTTAGACACCAATAAATCTGGAATGCTATGACTACTGAAAGATCATGGCGGGTCCAACAGAGATGCAACAACTATATTAAATAATAGATGTGGCTGCTTGGGGCAGAGATTTTTAAGCTGCTGCCGAACTTGAAAAATACCCAAAACTTTAATTACCCATAGTTAAATTTTCCAGATCGTCTGGCACAGAACAGGCTTACACATCAAGCTAAAAAATAATGTGATTTCCTTTGTTTTGGCTTTCTGTGTTGGGAGGTCAGGCAATTTTGATTAACTCATCAAATCTTGATTAAGCAAACTGGCTTAGCACAGCGTGTGAACCCAGTGAGAACCTCCATTGAGAATTCACTGTATCTTTGACAGCAGTGACTTTTCTGTAACAGATGTGAAATCTAGTAACTTCTAGGGGTGTCATAGCACCCGGGTTGGTAATGTTCAGTACTATGCAAGTTACATAGAATTATTCCAAGCCCATCTGAATACTTACTTGCCCAGTTTGTAGATTAGGCTGAGTTGAAGAAGTAGCTAAAGGAATGTAGCTCAGAGCCAGGAGACCATTTTCCAGAGCAGATGGGCAGACCTGGGACTGATATGTCAGCATTAGTGAGCAGTTATGATTCCTGTCTGGCTGCTGCATGACTTTTTTCCCCATCATAGGACTTCTGATACCACATGCACACATGCAACACACAAAAAGCTAGGTCAATTCCTTTTCTATTTTTGCATTTTTATTTATAATGCAGTTTTAGCCATTGAATCTCTATATAAGACATTGAGCCTGGTGAATCTCTACAGAAACGATAATACTTATATGGGCTAGCAGTGGTTTGCAAAGCTCATGGGGGCAAACAAGTCATCTCAGAGTAAAATGTAAAAAATATAAACTTTCCAGATGTTGCAGCTATTTTGACATTTCAAAGAGTGGTAATGTATGGATTTATGCATATACAATAGCTGCTGCTTTTCAGTGGTGAGCCAATTGTTTGTGGATACACAAACGTGCATAGGCAACCCAAAATAGCCTTCCAAAGGATCGCATTGTTTTCACATTTGCAAAGCATGTCCTTTAAATATTTTACACAACCGTAATAATTAATGGTTTGAGTTATCTATTTTGGTGCAATATATATTTTCCACTTCAACTTGCTTCTTCTCATTCTTTTCAGCCATGATTTTATTGCAATTGAATCAACCCCTAGCTTAAAGTTATGGTCTCTTATTCACTGAGCCATACAATCTTAATGGAAAAGTTAAACATCCACTTTGGTCTTCATAGGTTTTAATGCCTATTATCTTTTATATATACAAAGCTACAGTGGGAGCTTTTTTGTTATATCTTAGTCAGAAGCTGTGTCTTTTGGATTTCCTGAGTTCACATGTGCTTGAACACAATGGCAGGAAGTTCTCCTAACCATGCACATTGTACCTGGGAGATAAATAGCATTTCTATCCAGTTTTATTCACAAGTTGAATGAGAAACAATCAGGAAACAAATATTTCTTTTTTCATTGTAGTTTTTCCTCTTTATTTTTGATTTAAAAAAAAACACACCTCTGTCTGCTTTTCAGATGATCATTTCTCTCTTCTGTAAAGCTAGGGCCAAAGCTCAGCATTCTTGCTTTCTGCTGAACTTAATGAGAAAAGGGTAAACTAGGAGGTGTGTGATGGAACCATGTGGTAGGTTGAAATCTGCAACTTCTCCAGGATGGAAAAAAATAATTTCAGCTACAAAATGGGGAAATTTCACTTTGCCCTTGCTGTTTTTTTTTCCTGGCTGGTAACATTTGTTTTGCTGTATTTGCTATAAGATTGGAACAGACATGAATTTGAAGAAACCTGACCCTTAAATTTTCTATAGTAAGTCCTTGACTTACAACCACTTGTTTAGCAAATGTTCAAAGTTACAGTGGCACTGAAAAAAAGTGATTTACATCTGTCACAGCATCCCAATGGTCATGTGATCAAAATTTGAGCACTTGGCAACTGGCATGTATTTACACCAGTTGCAATATCCAAAGGTCATTTGATTGCCATTTGTGATCTTCCCAGCAGGCTTCCAACCAGCAAGGTCATTGGGGAAAGCTGACTTTCTTTAACAACCGCATGATTCATTGAACAGTTATAGTGATTCGCTCAACATTCATGACAAAAAAGAGGTCATAAAATTGGGTACTTAACAACTGCCTTACTTAGCAATGGAAATTCTGGTCTCAATTGTGGTTGTTGAGAACTACCTGCATATACTTCTTCATTAATCAGCTGTGATGCTGATTTATATAGAAACTTTATCGGTGTTTGATAGAAAGTCAGAACAGGGCAACTACATAACTGGGCATTTTGAAATCTTCAAAATGCCCAATCAAATAGGTACCCCGTTCAAACTTTCTTGGAACACTTGAGTGCTCCTGTATACAGATGCAGAACTTTCCCTAAAGACATGGAAATCAGAAGTCGATGCTGGGAGTAGGGTCAGTAAATATGTCCAACTGGTCCTTCCACTAGTTTATGCATTGAGGAAAAATGCCCTTTTCTTTGCACACAATCATTGTCCCAAGCAACAAAACCTGTATGGCACAAACTGAACTTGTTGCAACAAGATGTACAATTGAGGCATGAAAAGTCTACCTTGTGTTTCACACACCACTGCAAGAATTCTGTCCGTGTCAGCATGCTTGCTCTTTTATAAAACAGATAACTTGAGCAATATTAGATATTTTTTTAATGTGTCAGTGCAATGCAGGTAATCATCACTTACCGACCACAATTAGGATCAGCAACTCTGTTGCTAAGCACCACATTTCTAAGCAAAATGTCATGTGACCATGCCAATTTAACAACATCATTTCTGGTTCTGGTCGTTAAGCATTATATCGCATAACTGCCACTTACAACTTCCTGCCAGCTTCTCAGTAGCTTTGCTTCTCGGAAGTTGACTGTGAAGGTTTGCAAATGGAAATCATGTGACTGTGGGACATTACAACTTGTCATAAGTGCATGCTGGTTGCCAACTACTCGAATTGTGATCAGGTGACCAAAGGGAGACTAGGACCTCCATAGCTTTGAGAACTAGATGTAAATCCCTTTTTCAGTTACTGTTGTAACTTTTAATGGTTGCTGAACAAATGGTTGGTAAGTGAGGACTACCTGTATACTATCTTGGGTACTGGATTTTTGGTTAGGGACTAGGGACCAAGTTTCAAGTCCCCAGTTGATCAAAAAGCTGTCTGGATGACTTTGAACTAGAATAACCCACGGGAATGTTGTTCTGTGATTAAAATGAGGGAAGATCACCATGTATGCATTGGAGCTTCCAGAAGAAACACAGGATACAGATACCATAAATAAATAAATAAAAATATTCTAATTGAGTTAACAAAATAAGTAACTTGATCAATTCTTCTCTGCAGAGTCAACTTCAGTGGGAAAAGAAAAACATCGGTGGGAAACAATATTATAGCAATTTGGGCACAAGGAATCCACCTTACCCACTTCCTAGTATGGCCACCTTTGTGACTTCTAACCAACCTGACCTCCAGGTGACCATCAAAGAAGAAAGCTGTCCTTTGCCTTATAGCAGCTCATGGCCTTCTTTTCCAGATCACCCTCTCCAACAAATAGTTTGCTCAGCTTCTACCAGCTATACTAGCAGACCTCCAGATCATGAAAATCGGGCAAGTGTCATCAAGAAAACCTCAGATATCACCCAGTCAAGAGTCAAGAGCAGCTAAGCCATTCACTGATATGTTCCTGGCAGATGGTATCTTATGGCTTTGAGGAGCATATCTAGTGAATGCTCTACAAATTTAAAGAAAACCTGGATAGTACAGGATATGACTGTGTTCAACTCCAGCATTGGAGCATCTTAAACTCAGGACTCTGATCATCAGAATGTCGGAGTTCCAAGATTACAGCCCAGGGAATGGAGGTTCACTTGGAAATGTATCGCCAAGCTTCATCAAGCATCCCTCCCAACAATCCCTCCAAACAGAAGCACTTCACTTCTTGCAGCCACCCTAATGAACTCCAAACCTTTGGAATGAAAGAGAAAATGTGAACTCGCTGGATTTTTTTTTCTGCAGAATCTATTGTTAATATGTACATAATGCAGCACTAGCAATATTGCAGTCTGCTTTCGCACCTTATTAAAAAAAATAGCACTTGCAAAAAAGGCCTTTTATTAATTAATGGCACATTTAAAGCTCCAGGTTTGATCTCTCCGAAGGCTTTTCTGACATATGTAGCCTTAGAATCTGGAAATATGAATTAAAAAGGAAGGTAAAACCTCCCATGTACATTTCACAGATTGTTCTGAAGAGTGCTTGTCTTATTTGTGTCTAATCTGCTATGCTTGAAATCTGTGTGGTACAATAGAAGAAAATCTATTACAGATATATTATGCAAATTCCTAGGTTTTAAAGAAAAAATTACCCTAATTCTAACCAGAGTAAACTTTTTTATTTTTTTATACAGTGGAATATTTTATTCAAAGTAAAATTCTAAAGTGAATATAATTGTTTCAAGTTTTTTATCTTTTCTACAGCAAATTTATAATTTTACAATTTAGTGTTTGGTTGTCAACAACTATCACGTCTTTATGGCACATTTCTTTTTTTCATTTTCTTCCTCTCTTGCTCTTTCTCTTTTTCTCTCCTTTTTACAATTTGTAAAGGTGAAATAATGAGTTTTATGTAGCAATCAAAGTATCCTGTGGATTGATAATAAATATTACATATAGCTAAATTTTAAATAAATACTTTGTCTACATTTATGAAATGACCAGAAATCATATAAGGGGTAAGTTGAGAAATATTTTGATGAGCAACAAGCTTGAGCAAGGAGGAGAGAATGATGAATGTCTGGGCTAAAAAATTGTATTGAAAACACAAATATTTAACAAAATGCCATGGAATTCAGTCGGAGAATTATATTCAGCAGGTCCTGAAATAAAATGAATAATATTTCCTAGTTTTCAAACATGAAACATGTTAAATGGCCTCATGCCTCCTTTCAAATAAAATACTTCATATTTAATTTATGAATTGTTAAAAGTACACAATGTGTCATTTTTTTCCCAGAATTTCAAATACATGCACTGAGGTTTGGGATACTTTGCAATTGAGCTGGAAAATCAAAAGACATCATGAAATTCCTTCTGATTTCCTCACCACAAATAGATCCTACTGCTTTAAAGAAGGGCTGTGCTCCCACCCCAAATATCATGAAGCATTTTTCAGAATAATTTTTGAAGCACATCTTAGTTCATATCCAACTTGCCAATCAGAATATCTTTATACGAGTTTTGGAAAGTGTCAAAAGTGTAGAAAAAAGATTGTTAGAGCAACTTTAATGTTAACTGGTGGACAACATGGTAGCTTTAATTCTGAATTGTAATTAAACATAAAGGTTCTATAGGGTTAAGGTTCTGGTTATGATTCCCACGTATCCTCTATAATTGGTTTAAGAGATTAACCCAAGTATGGAGATGAGCAGCATCCAACACCAGCAAACCAATCTCAGGCATTAACAGTAGAAAATGTTTAAATATACAGGAAGGACAGGAACAAATTAGACGAGACATAAAGCATCTTCAAACTTGAAGATTATATTTGGTTTATTTTTAAAACCAGTAAAAACTTGAGACAAATATAGAAAATGCATTTTATGAAAAGATACTTAGCCTAGAAATACTGAAGATATACAAGGGGTTTTGTCTGGTTAGTGAAATGGGCATCAGTGGTGGAACAGATGTTACAGGGCCAGTTTTAGAACCAATTTGGAAAAAGCATGGCTGTATGAAGAAAAGTAGGATTGCTCACACAGTGTTGGACATCTCCCATTCAACGATTGTTCTTTTGAAAATATTGCTTTCTTTGTTTGGTGCACATCAAGAGATCTAGTGACAGATCTACCTTGTGCTTATACTGGAGTTATGGTTATTATTGTATATAATAATATATGGCAATTCTTTCAAATAGTTACTTGAAGTCTATATTGGCTTTTGACTACGCACAGAAATGCTTTTCACATGAAATGGTTCCCAAATAGGGCCTGACAATCTCTGATGGTCTACAAGGATTGTTCTTTGGGTATCAAAAATCTCACAAGATTGCATTTTTGCTTGAAATGTCATGTGATTTCAGCATACTTGCCCCAAACCTTGCAATATTACAACTAAGAATACCAACATTCTGTGCGATTCAATGATTGTGAGATCAGTAACTATACTTTTCTAAAAAATTAAAGATTTCATATTTGCTGTGATGTGCGTCTTCACTGGCTTATTCAATCCTCAAAACCTGATAATGTAGCAAATCCACATAAATGCAAAGGCTAAGAATTGGTCTTTGAAGGTTTTTTTTTTTTACAGAAACCAATTTTTAATTCAAATGTAAAACATATCAACAAAACAATTGTTTCAAATGTTTTTCTATTATTTTCTATTCACTTTAACCCGAACAATCTACTTGCATCAGGGCTCAAAGACAATTCCTTTGTTTCCCTAAAACATTAAACATGTTTTATGTCTAAATTTTGAAATACGGTTTTTAACACTCCCCAAATAGGAATGTTGAAATAAAATTTTGTTTTGGAAAGTAGTAAAATAAACATGGTTGGTTTAAGAAGTTCAGTTTGATTTGCTACCATTTGCTTCAATCATCTGTGGATAGATTAGAAACTGGTGTGGTATGCTAAAAATAAAATGCAAATAAGTTAAAAAATTGCAAACCAAGTCTTTCTTTGATCTGGCCATAAGTGTTGGTACAATAGATAAGTGTTTCCAACTAAAATACAACTAAAACAAATTAGGACCTGATGCATGTGCTATGCTGAGTTATTCATATGCTCAGCCAAAAGAAGTACAACACAGTGCTGTTTAATAGATCACAAGATTCTAACCAACAACTCGTAGTTCAGAATTTCTTAAAATACTGTTGAGATGGAATAGTTATTATAATGCCAGTGATTTGTTTTTAATTAGTAATATAAAATATATATTAAAGCAGTTCTGGAAATTTAAGAAAGTTTATTCAATGGAACAATTAATCCCAGGTAAAATAGGTTGGTGTTCCTTAATATGTAGAAGACATATAGGAAACTGAATTCAGTTTCCTGAATTCATTTCCTGAATTCAGAGAAAGAGATATTTCATTACTAATTATTTTACCAGTTATTGGCAAAAGTGCAGCAGTCACCAATATAAAAAGTTATATAAAGGGGCACAAATGTTTTCATGTTATTTATTTACAAGAATGCATCTGCTACAAATAAATAACACATAATTTTACTGCTATCGCTGATTTCTTTTTTCTTCCTCATGATTTCATTTACCTATATAGAACAAAAAATAGTTTTATCTCCATTTTGTTCCTGTCTACGTGAAAATATTTAATGAAGATCATGGTTGTTGAGTTTGACTGGAGAATAATGATACTGTATTTATTGCTGATGATAACATGCATCGCATAATGGAGGTTTCAAATTGGGTTTGATTCCTGCTTGCCTTCCTGACCTATCTTTACAATAGCTCTTCCAAATCTATTGTCATGGTTCTGACAGAGACGAATAAAGCAGAACTCCGAGACATGCAAATTCCTCAACATGTTTATTACTTACAAAGTATCAGCACAGTCAAGAATGGAAACGAAGTCTGGATTCACAAGTAATAATTTCCCAATACAAAGCTAAATGTCCCACCCATAAAACTATACAAGCAACTACGTTCCCCAATATGATTATTTGGTGGGCTTTTTATGCAATACCCAGTCCCTAGTCTCAGGAGCAGCCTTGGTTCCCACGGATAGAAGATTATTTTGACTAACGAAGCACCTGGGCAACCCCCCTCCCTCCGTTCTATGTGGCAACCTAGAATGAGAAGGAAAATGGTTGCAGCCATGCTCATTTGTAGAGTTGACATCCTAATCTTTTTGATCCTTTTCATCTATCTCATCCATTGATTTATTACTTTTTCAACATTTTCAAACATAATTGTTTTTTCATAAGCCGCCATCTACTCGCATCCCATTCCTGAAATGCATGAGTTGTGCTTCTTTATGGTTCTTAGTTTCAGGATCTTGTCTAAAATTGTCATTACCTCTATGCCTGGGATTAGACAGTAGCTCTTAACTGACTTTACCTGACTTTGAAAGAGGTAAATTTAAACAGGGCTTTCCTGATTAGTAACTGGGTGAGAGATCACCACTCCCAGATATATGGCCTTGGTTGAACAAATACTTCAGAAAACGGAGATCCTCCAGAAAAATCTCAGAAGGCATTAGCATGCTGTTTTGTATTGTTGCCAAGAAAGCTATACTATAGTTTTTATTGTTCTTTCCCATCTTTATCAGTTCTGCAGCCTGAGAAAATAATATACTGCCTTAGGTTCTTCAGTTCAGTTGTAAGTTCATTAAACAAGCCAATCAGCTTTATATTCTTAATAGACAGTAGCATAGACCAGTGATGGTGAACCTTTTAGAGACCGAGTGCCCAAACTGCAACCCAAAACCCACTTATGTATTGTCGGGTACCAGGTGGGCCTGGCCCATTGGGTGGGCCTGGCCCATTGGATGGGCGTGGCTGCTGTGGTAATGGCAGACTGGGTGGGACTAAAAAGTTCAATCAATGAATTCCAGCTTTGCGAGATCTTTTTTTTCCCGCGAGAAGTTGAAATCGATTGATTGATTGAACCTTTTTTTTTTGCACACGGCGGTGGAGGCCTAAAGCGAAAAGATTTTATAAAACCCAGCTGAAGGCCTAGGATTGGGGCGACGGCGCGTGTGCCCACAGAGAGGGCTCTGTGTGCCACCTGTGGCACGCGTGCCATAGGTTCGCCACCAAGGGGATAGACTTTTTTTTAAAAATTCTGTGTTTATTTCATGGTGAGTTCTATCTCTTCACTTTTGTTTACAAAAACCATGTCTTGAGATCTCCAATTGTTAGTATTTCAGCTACCTGATTCCAACTGTCTTCTTTTCCAATCGGGCCAGTCTTTTTTTTTTATTATTAAATTTATACAGGTAGCTCTTGACCTACAACTACTTGTTTGGTTACTGTTTGAAATTACGATGACACTGAAAAAGATGACATGACTATTTTCCCTACTTACAACTATTGCAGCATCCCCGTGGTCAGGGGATCAAAACTTGGGTGCTTGGCAACTGGCATGTATTTATGACAATTACACTGTGCCAGGGTCATGTGATCACCATTTGTAATCTTCCAGCCAGCTTCTGACAAGCAAAGTTAATGAGGAAGCCAGATTTGCTTAATGACTGCATGATTCACTTAACCACTGCAGCTAAAAGGTCATAAAATGGGTCAAAATTCACTTAACAATTGTCTTGCTTAACAACAGAGATTTTGGGCTCGATTGTGGTCGTAAGTCAAGAACTACCCGTATGCCACCTGTCTTGTCTCACATGATTCTGAGTGACTTAAAATAGTATAAAATCATAGATATACAAGCATTAAGAGCATTAAAATTAAGTTTAACAACAATTAAATAAATAAAAAGTTAAAACCAAGAGTGTGTATGGTATAGTGCAGGGATAGGCAACCTTGGCTCTTTTAAGACTCGTGGACTTCAGCTCCCAGAATTCCTGAGCCAGCATTCCTGGCTGGCTCAGGAATTTTGGGAGTTGAACTCCACAAGTCATAAATGAGCCAAGGTTGCCTACCCCTGGTATAGTGCCTCAGATGAAGGGCTTTAAGCCTTTAAACACCTTGGATTAGA